AGGGCTCGCCGCGGTTCCCCGCCGCCCTGGAGTCGGCCCGGGTTCCACCCAGCCGTCGCCGGGCTCCTCCGCGCCGGGGCCCGTCGGCCGGATTTTTCCCAGGCCCCGGGCCGTGCGGCCCCGGCTCAGCTGTCCGCGTTCCCCGCAGCCAGGCCCTGTCCCTGCGGGAGGCTCTGCCCTCCCCCCTGCTGCCCACCCCGCCCAGCCCCGGCCTCCGTCCGTCCCTTTCTTCCTCCGGCCTCCGTCCGCTCTCTTCCCGACGCTCTCGTGAGCCCCACCCTGGGCCTCGCTCTTTCTCAGGTTGTCAGTGACGGGAGGCCCACCCCGGCGAGCCCACTGCTGGGAGCCGGCTGTCTGCAGCCTTGGGCTGGGAGGGTGGGATCTGGGCGTTGTTTTCCCCAGAGGCTTGGCCCTGAGACGTGCGGATGTTCTGGAAGGTGGGAAGTGGTGGTTGTAGGAGGAAAAAAAAATCTGGAATGGTTTTCACCTAGAAGGGAAATTAGCTTGTGTTGGAGAGGAAATCTGTCTGAATTGGAGGCGACTTGAACGTGGGGTGCTTGGGGGTGAGGGGGGTGGCGTTGGCAGTGACGATTTTGCTCCTGGGGTTGGGCTGTGGCTTGTTGGAAAAGCTCATTATCTGGATTCTCACCACTGAGAAATCTTTTGGCAGTTTTGATGCTTTTTCGATCTCTGCCAGATGCTATGTCATGATCATTTTACTTCGGATTTTTCACATCTCACCTCCCCTTTTTCTCCTTTCAACGTGAAACAGCGTTTGGTTCTCATGGTGGTGCAAACAGGAATTACTGAGAAAATGTTAATTCATCTCGAGTATTTTCTAGTTATATATTAAAGATTGATGTGCGAGAACATCTTTGTTTTACAGGGTTTTCTTTGGGTTATGGTGTGGGAATAGATTGATTTATCATCTAGCTATCTAAATTAGATTTTAATAGCATTTGAGCTAAGTGATTCTTTTATGTCTTAATATTTCGTAGTATCCGATGAGTGAAATTGTGCTGTTCACCTGGTTTGGGTTCTGCTGTCAATGTACTATGTATTAGGCTTAGTACAAGGTAGTAATTTGTGCTGGTTGTCTCTTAAGATATAGTAATAACAGCTTTATGCTGTATTATACAAATTTAGCAGTAATTCAGAAATTAGGACCCCCCCCCTTTGTTTTCCTCAAACTGACCATGACCATCTTTAAAATATAGGCATTGAGACTTAATTCCAAGTTATCAAACATTGACTGTCTACAAGATGTCTTAGGTGAGGCTATAAAAAACATTCGTTATTTGTTCTGACTGGAAGGCATATAAAATATAAATTCAGAGCTTTTATTACTATCTTGAACTATTTATATTAATTTGTATGGCATTACAGCAGGGTAATACTCATTGCAGAATTGACTCCAGTCTGACATGGGAAATAGTTTTTCTTTTTTCGTACTTAGATTATCTTCCCCTACCCCTACCCCCACTTTTTTTTTTTCTTTTATAGTACTGGGGATTGAACCCAGGGCCTTCCGCTAAACTACATCCCTAGACTTTTTTTTTTGTTGTCTTTTTGAGACGGGGTCTCGCTATGCAAATCAGGCTGGGCTTGAGCTCATTTTGTAGCCCAAGCTGGTCTCGAACTTGCAGTGATCTTCCTGCCTCAGCCTCCCAAGTGCTGGGATTACAGCATGCCCCAGCACACCGGGCTTACCCAGACATGTTTTTGATAGAGTCTCACAAAGTTGCTAAATTGTCCAGACAGGACTGGAACTTTCTTCTCCTGTCTGAGACTCTCAAGAGTATTGGGATTACAGATGTGCACCACCATGTCCTGGTTTACTGAGTGGAGATTATAGTCTTCCTGATTTTTTTTTTAAGTTTTTGACGGTACTGGTGATGAATCCAGGGCCTTAAGTGCTCCACCACTGATTTATATCCTCATTGTTTTGGTTTATGGATTTTCCTTAGGTAAGTATAAACTTGTTTCCTTAAGTGAGTACTTAGTGGAACCTATGGAGTTCCCTGGTCCCGCTGTTACATGACAGTTTCAGGACAGTGCCCTACATAAAATACAGCTTATTGATCATCACTGATAAGTAGATTCGAGAAAGTGCTTATTGTCCTGCCAGGCGTGGTGGCACATGCCTGTAATCCCAGGCCAGGAAGGAGGCTGACGCAGGATAACAATGAGTTCAAGGCCAGTCTGCACTACATAGCGAGACCCTATCTCAAAAAAAAAAAAAAAAAAAAAGTGCTTATTGTGTATTCTGGGATATTACTGCCTTATGTTGTGATGCAGAGCTATTTAGTTTGCATGAAAGATCCATTAAACTGTCTAGGAAATTTTTTGTGTGAAGAGCTCTTAAGTATCTGCATGTTTCCTTTGAGTTTTATGAGTGTTTATGTTCCCAATCATATTGCAGAGTTTTATGACTTTTCATTTCTTTCTTTAAGCCTTTACTAGTTCCTCCCCTCCACTGGCTCATCGCACCTCCTCTCCCAGATAATTCCCAAAGCCTTGTTAGATTTTTTAAAAAATACTTTTGTGTTTTGAGACAGGGTCTTGCTCTGTAGTTCAGGCTGGCCTTGAACTCACTGTGTAGTACAGACTAGTCTCAAACTCACAGAGATTACCTGGCTCAGCCTCCGAATTGCTGGGCTTGCACCACCATGCCCAGCATTTTGTATTTTTAGAACAGGTTTAGACCTCTTCACCTGTTTTCCCCAATTATTAATATATTAGTATGGGATGTTTGTTACAATTAATGAACCAGTATTGACACTTTATTAACTAAATTGCATAGTTCATTCACATTTCCTTATTTATTTATTTTGTCTTCTTTTTTGAGACAACGTCCTGCTATGCAGTTCAGGCTGGCCTTCAGCTCACTTTGTAGCCCAGGCTGGTCTCGAACTTGCAGTGGTCCTCCTGCCTCAGCCTCCTGAGTCCTGGGATTGTCCTTCCAAGAGCCTGCCTGTTTTTACCTAATGTCTTTTTTTTTTTTTAATTTCAGCTTTTCACTTAGAATAGCACATTACATTAAATTGTCATGTCTTTCTAAGCTTCACTTAGTGTTTCTTTAGGATTGTGTTTACGTGCTTTTTTTTGTTCTATGGAACTGTGAGGTCAGTCATCTTCTGAGGTCACTACTGTATATTGGTAAGTAATGTCATGCAGTAGCTTTGACAGTGGAAGATTGATCTTTGTTTTTATGGTCAGTGTCTAATTTTCTTATGCATTAGCAAAGGTCTGTAGAACCTATGTCATGTTGATGTAATTCTTCCTGAATTATTTATTTTTAGGTCTATTAGAATTCCACAGTTCAGGTTTCAAAGAGTATAATCTGTGGCAGAGTTTTATTTCCTTAATAATGTGTACCACATTTATAATTATCTTTTTATATATTTGTTTTTGTCTGTTTCTCAGAGCAGAATGTAAGTCCCATAAAGATGAAAAAAAAAATTCTTTTTTGTTCATTGTATCCCCATTGCTTAACATAGTGCCCAGCTTACACTATAATAATAATTCATTATTCAGAAATATTTGGTGAATGATGGTTGAATCTAACAGTAGCAAAAGCTAGTAGCTTATATCTCTTTTTTTGCTATGAAGAGAACTACATTTTTTCCTAACGCAATTAATATATATTATTTTATGCTTCTATCACTTGATTGTATACAGGGATACTCCAGATGTTGGCGAGTAGGGTAGAGAAACCAAAAATTTAGCAGCTTAACCATCCTCCCGCCCTCCAAAATGACCTATGTTTTATAGTCTTCTTTTTGTTTTTGTTTTGAGACAGGGTCTCATTGTGTAGTTCAGGCTGTCCTTGAACTCACTCTGTAGCCCCAGCTGTCCTCAAACTTGTGGCAATTCTCTTGCCTCAGTCTCTCTAGTGCTGGGATTACAGGTGTGTGCCACCATGCCCAGCCTTTATACATTTGTTGGAGCTGAGCAAAATTCTTCTTGCTTTGTTAAAGCTGTTAAATTATTTGTTATTAGTGTAACATGTAAAAATATGTCAAATTGTATGAAAGATAGGTGTTCATAGAACCGATTTGAAATTAGGTAGACTAAGTTTTGCTTAGGTTATCAAAAATTTAAGGTGCTGTACTGTATAATGAAGATGAATTGTTTCAGCATGTGAAGGAGATTGAGTTAATGACGTCAGTCCTGGTAATCTTCATACAAATCCCTTGTGGTTTGTCTGTATTTTAGTACTATACCTGCCTTATTAGAGCAGTGTTCAAATATATAATTTTTTTTTTCAAATATATAATTTCTGAGGTTCCCTTAAGGAAGTTCTCTTGTTATTACGTATGGTTGTTGTGTTGAACTGCAGAGACACTTTTAGGAATATTGTTAAATGTGTTTATAATAGATTTTACTGTATACAAGTGTGTATTATCAGTTATTAGGAAATTTAATGGCAGGGAGAAGCACATACCTAGCACTGCTTCCCTTTTCACTTCATATTGCTCATTTTACATCAGCTCTTTTGAATTGATATATGCTAGGTAGAGAAAAAGTGTCATGAGTCTTAAAATAGTACTTAACAGTTTATACTATATTCTATATCATGCTGTTTTATATTGTATTGTGTTATATATTAGTGTATATACATCCCCTTCAAATTTCTTATGAATAATTTATGAAACCACTTGATTACTAGTTTTTAATAAACATTTGGTAAATATTTACTAAACAGTTCCCATGTGCCAGGCTCTCTTAGAAAAAGTATATTTAAGGAGATAGCCAAGCGGCACAGCACCTGCCTGGCAAGCACAAGGTCCTGAGTTCGATTCCTGGTACCAAAAAAATTTAAAAAGTGGGCAGCAAAAAGTATATTTATTAGCTAATTGAATCTTTGCCATAACTATATAGATCCTGTTAT